GCCTACTAAAAAAAAGAATATTATATATACCGAAAAATTGAAGGCTGGGCGTCGTGGCAGGTGCCTGTAATCCAATGTTCAGGCGAGGCTTGAGGGTAGGAGAATCGCTGTTGAACCTGGGAAGCTAGAGGTTGCAGTGAACGCCGAGATGCAAGCACTGCACTCCAGTCATGGGCGACCAGAGTTGAGATACTCTGATTTTGAAAAAAGAAAAATTATTCTCACCTTTTTCTTGATAAGTGCTAAATAATCTGTACTGTGCTTCAAGGGACCCCGCGCTTGTTTTGATGCTCTGTTGTCGTCGTCTTGAGATTCTTTTTTGTTTTGTTTTTTTAAACATGATCTTGCTCTGATACCCCGCCTGGAGTGCAGTAGCATGGTCATGGCTTACTGTAGCCTTGACTTCCTGGGCTCAAGTAATCCTTCCATCTCAGCCTCCCGAGTAGCGAGGACTACAGGCACGTGTTACCACAGCTGGCTAATTTTTTTATTTTTGGTAAAGATGAGGTTTTGCCATTTTGCTCAGGCTGGTCGGAAACTTGTGAGCTCAAGCAATCTGCCCACCTCGGTCTCCCAAAGTACTGGGATTACAGGCATAAGCCACTGCACCCAGCCCCAAATTCACAATAATTTTTCAACAAGGGGCTCTGTGTTTTCATTTTGCACTGGGTCCTGCAAATTCTGTAGCCAGTCCTGCCTCTACTGCTAGCTCTTTGCCTATCAGTCACTTCCTCAAAGGGCCTTTCGTGTCCCCTTCTCACATTTAAAATATCTACCCCCCAACCACCTTCTGTATCTTTATCAATCACTCTGATTAGTTGTCTTTGCAACATTTAATTATTTCTTGAGATTATGTCCTTTTTGTTTGTTTGTTTGTTTTGACACAGTCTCACTCTGTCACCCAGACTGGAGTGCTGTGGTGCAATCTCAGCTCACTGCAACCTCCACCCCACAGGCTCAAGCAATCCTCCCACATTAGCCTCCTGAGAAGCTGGGACTACAGGCATGCGTCACCATGTCTGGCTATATATATATATAAAATATATATATATATATTACAGGTGTGAGCCTCCACAATCAGCTCCTAAAAGATTATGTCTTTTATTTTTTTTATGATCTACTTGGTTATTACCTGTCTCCCTACCCTGGAAAGCAAGTTCCTTGAAGGCAGGGCCACATTTATAGTGGTCTCTGTTTTTCCCCACTGCCTAGGCTGGTGCTGGCTCATGGTAGGCTGTGAATATCTGCTAACTACATGAATGAAATGAGCTGCCACAAGCTTGCCAAAGACAGAATTCTGCATTACAGGGGAATGCGAAACACGTGATGAATGAGTGTGGGCATGGATGAAGGAATGAATGAATGAATGGATGAATGAATGAATGATGAATTAATTAATTAACAGGTGAATAGGTATTTTATAATTGTTGCTCTTTAGCAGCAGTAAATTTTTGTTTTCATAAAATTCTTTCTGCATGTATCTTGTGACTTTGGAGACTAGTTCTGGGGTGAAACTCCAATTTTAAATTTTTCTTCTGTCTCTGATAGGATCATGCAAACTCAGCCTTTCTGTCCTTTCTCCCAGCTGGCAAGGGCTGGCTGAGAATATGGATCCAGTGACCTCGTGCTGTGTGTTAAGATCTCTCCTCCCATCTCTTTCCCTTTGGGTTCATCTCAGGGCGGGGATTAGAACTTGGCCTTTCTTTCGACTTGGAAACAGTCCCCAAGGGTTGGAATTCCTATGCAACACTTAGAAACAGAGCTAATGAGAACATTACATGATGTGGCAAAATCGCTGCTTACATGCTCTGAAATGAGCACGGTTACAAGAACCCCCTGTTCCGTGTGATCCCATTTTGTTGGACAAACAGCATGCGGTAGTGCATAGTGGGCCTATGATAAGACACTCAGGTTCAAAGCCACCTCTTCCTAGCTTGTACCCCTACTTAGTATGACCCTATGGGGTGCACATGTGGACTGAATGGAATGGGACAGGTTCAGGATTGCTGAGATTGCAGCTAGAATCCTGAAACTTAAAGCTATGAAACTGAAGTTCATAAATTAGTGGTGAACTCATTTGGCAGCAAAACCTGTCCTGAATTGATGTGAAGTTATTTATAGTCAGTATTTATCTTATTCTGCTGCTGAAATATTAATATGATGATGTGAAACAGAAAGTTTTACTTTCCTAAAAACAATAATTTCCAAGTTCCAAAGCACATCAGGCCTGGGAATTTCAGATAAGGGATTATGGACTATATATAACATGCTTAGAACAGTTCCTGGCATATAGTAAGCACGAAAAATGCTTCTGCTTAGTAAATGTGCCTAATAAATGTGTGCGTGTGTGTGAATATGTATGTGTTTGTATGTGTGTGTCTTAGAGAAACTGTAAAGAGTGTCTCCAAATAGTAAATAATCATGTTTATGTGGTATGATTATGAGTGATTTAAATTTTCTTCTGCATTTTCTAACTTTCTGCTCTAAATATCATTTTATAATGCATTTTAACAATGTCTAATAATAAAACAGTATTAAAATTGGGGGAAAGAGTAAAACAATCATCTCACTTCCTAGAAAGGAAGCTGAAGCCCAGAGAGATTCCAGGCCTCCCAGCAAGATAATCAGAGGCCCAGAGCACCATTTGAACCCAGACCCTCGTTAGATGTGGATGTGAAATCAGTCAACCAACTGCCAGTATTAGTGTCACTGCCTAATATTCCCCCAGGGGGCAAGAGGCTTGGGTTCCAGGATGGGCACCTCTGGCCTCCTCCTAACTTGTTCTTTCTATTAGTGGGAAGGGTTGGGAGATTGGTAGTTTATGGACAACCTTTAAGTTGTATGAGCTTGAGGACATCATCTACCTTCTCAGGGGCCAGACTGGACACTCTGAGGTTCTTTGTGGCTCTAACAGTTGGTGGCTTTGTTCCTTTATATGTGGAGGAATGGACAGCAGGGAGGGGGCTGGGAGATAGAGAAGGAGAGTACCTGGAAAATGGGGGAAAAGTTTGTTAATTTATAGGCAGGCTGAAGCAGGAGGATCGTTTGAGCCCAGGAGTTCGAGGCTTCAGTGGGCTATGATTGTGCCAATGTACCCCAGCCTGAGCAAAGGAGCGAGACCCTATCTCTCTTAAAAAAATTGTTAATTTAGAACCATTTTCTGCCTGGTAAATGACCGCAGGTGGTCTGGGTTCTAGGCAAGAGAGAGGACACACTAAGGGATGAAATGGTGGGTGGGGAAGCCAAGGTTTGTCCCATCCATTTGTTGGCCCAGGAGCAGTTATTGCGACCCGGCTGGGTGCCAGGCACTCAGTTGGTACTGCAGATGCAAAGATGGTGAGATACAGCCTCTGTCCTTAGGGAGGCCAGGGCAAGGGGTCTGAGAGCCCACAGGCCAGGGCATTCCCCACCATTTTTACAGAGAGTTGTGGAATAGTTAAGAGCACAACATGCTGGTGGCTGAGGCTGGAGGCTGGTATGCTGGCTTCTCCACCTAGCCATCATGTGACTTGGGGGAAGTTCTGTGACTTTCTGTGCCTCCGTTGCCTCTAAAATGAAGTCATAGTGTTACCTCCCTCACAGGGTTGGGATCAGGCTTTACTGACTTGCCGTGAGCACAACACTCAAAGCAGCACCCATAGTGCAATCGTGGTCATTAGATCCAGTGCACGGCATAAGGGCCCAGGACCCACAATTAGGTCTGGATTCAGAGCTCTCCTATTACCTCTCTGAGCTGCAATTTCCTGCTCTGTTGAGGCAGGATAATACTAATGCCTATCGTAGAAGATTGTTGAGATCGAGTGGGAGCAAGTGCTGGGGGTGGACGGCCCAGAGGTGGTTCAGCAGCCATTAGTTGGGTGGGCTTCCTCCAAAGTTCTTGCCTGTGCTCATGGTTATTCCCAAGCCCTGGCTGGGCTTACACCTTGAAGGTGTAGTAACCTGTGTCCACGGAGGAGGAAGAGGATTGAAAAGGCAGGTAAAGTGTCCCGATAAAAGGATAAAGTCCAAAACAGCAGATGAGTGCTGAAGCGTCCCTTCCTGCCACCGTTTACGACCATGTTGGGATCACTGAGGTAAGAACAGTTTAGCAAGGCAGACCTTGGATCCCAGGAAGGCGAGTGACGCTCTGTGGGGTCTGGACATGCAGAGCGGGACCTGCAGGCGAAGGTAGGTGAAGGAATACCAGGAAAGGGAGCGGACACCAGGGACCTGGCATCTCCACTTTCCCAGATAGCAGACTGGGTGGGCTTGCAGTGCAGCCTCCCAGCTGCTTGTTCGTCATCCCAGCCCACACCTCTTATCAGCTCCAAGCTGGGAGCAAGTCAGGAAACTAAATTGTCTATAAATATTTTTATGTGCCCCTGAGTGAAATGCCAAGGATCTTTCCATAATGTTTAATTTATTCATTTATTGACTTAGGAAGGGGCTGGCAGAAACTCTCTTTTCAAGTCTCTTTAGCTCCTAAAATGTTTTCTTTTTCTTTTCTTTTCTTTTTCTTTTTTTTTTTTTTTTTGAGATGGAGTTTCGCTCTGTAGCTCAGGCTGGAGTACAGTGACGCAATCTCAGTTCACTGCAACCTCCGCCTTGCGGATCCTGGTTCAAGCAATTCTCCTGCCTCAGCCTCCTGAGTAGCTGGGATTATAGGCACGCACCACCATGCCCAGCTAATTTTTGTATTTTTAATACAGACAGGGTTTCACAATGTTGTCCAGGCTGGTCTTGAACTCCTGACCTCGTGATCTGCCCTCCTTGGCCTCCCAAAGGGCTGGGATTACAGGCGTGAGCCACTGCGCCCGGCCTCCTAAAATGTTTTCTAGGAGCTTGGGGGAAAGAGGATCCCTGTCTTTGAGTTGTTCTTGTATTAAGTTAATACAAGGTACAGAGCAACTAACCATTCATACATTCCCCTCCCCCTTAAGCATCACTGCCCTTTTTTAGAAAAATCATTCACTTCTGGTCTATACTTAATGTAACAGTCCCCCCACCCATATATTGAAAGGGATTATTTCATTTTGCTTTTCTGCAAAAATGAAGGCAAATTATATGTGGATAATTTTATAGATGAGGAAGTGGAGAGAAGGGATTTACTTAAGGCCATCCGTGAGGGGAAGGATACATTCAAGCCCATGGATGGCACGGTCTTTCCACCATGCTGCTGGTCACGTGCATGCGGATTTTCTTGTTGATTTTGTGTGTGTATTGTTCATTGACCTGGGTTTTCCCTCTGCAATACCAGCAAGTAAAATTGAGCCTCTAGGAAGTCTGAGAGGAAGGGCTTAATGCATGAGACAGCAACTACCGCCATGCTTGAACTGTTTCATCAAAAAGCACAACTACGGATGTTTGTATAAAGGTGGTGGTGTG